ACCACACAAGGACAACAGCACAAATAACCTGATTCGTGCACAGAAAAAACTTCAGTGCATGCAATTCTATGACATTCAAATGATAATAATTCTGAGTTTTCAAGAAAAGCAATATCAAATTGCACTTACTCCAGGGCTGAAGAACAGTATTTTTAAATGCTTAATATCTTGCTAATTATACAAGCTGGAGATAGAAAATGAGGCAAAAACATGTTGCTTGATAATGCTGTTATTGGAGGTCAAGGTTTGATTCTCAGTCAGGGCACATGCCCGGGTTGCAGACTTGATTCCTAGTGTGGGGCATCGTAGAGGCAGCCAATCAATGATTTCTCTCATCATTAATATTTCTCTCTCTTTCCCTCTCCCTTCTTCTCTAAAAATCAATTTAAAAAATAATAATGCTATTATTCTCATTTTAAAATAAATACATTTTAAAAATTACACAATAGAGCCGAAACCAGTTTGACTCAGTGGATAGTGAACTGAATGGTCCCAGGTTCGATTCTGGTCAAAGGCATGTACCTTGGTTGCGAGCACATCCTCAATGGGATGTATACAGGAGGCAGCTGATTGATGTTTCTCTCTCATCGATGTTTCTAACTGTCTATCCCTCTCCCTTCCTCTCTGTAAAAAAATCAATATATTTTTTTAAAATTAAAAAATTAAAAATTACACAATAGATATCTGTCCCTCTTTGGTGCCAATCTCATACAATTGCAGAATTCTCAGAAGTATTTTAGAGTATTAAATCTGAATAGTCAAGCATCTGAGAATCAAACATATATAGACTCAAAAGTTCAGCCGGTCCCCCTACTCTGCACTTTGCACTCAGAAAGTCATGTTACCTATTCAATAAGTACACACATGAGTATTCTCAACTCATTCCCAGGAGAGTGTTTGGTAAGCTTCATGCATGTTGTATATTCAAGTAGAAATTCATACAAACATGACACATTGTACATTTGTTGATTCCTTATAGATTTAAAACTTGTATGAAGACAACTTTGCACTTCATATACTCCATAATTTATAGACAGAACTCATGTGACACATATTCTTTCCTAGAGTTATCAATAATTAAATCATTTTTGGCCCGACCATATGGCTCAATGGGTTGGAATGTTGTTTTGTACACCAAAAGGTCGGGGGTTTGAATCCCAGTCAGGGCACCTAGGTTGCCAGTTCAATCCCTGGTCATAGTACATATAAAGGCAATCAATCAATCAATGTTTATCTCTGTTTCCTCTCTCATTGATTAAAACATATCAGCTGGTAAAGATGGACAAATGTTTTAGACTAAAAAAACAAAAATAATTAAATCATTTTTATGGCTATTATTCAGTGTGTGAAACAGAAAACAATGTCATTTGTATATACCAATGAATTAAAATACTTGCTCAATGTTCCACACCTTCCTCTCGTAGAGTTTTAAAAATATGGTCCATCTATTAGGCCCTCATCAAATTTAACCAAAAATCACATACACCCTATCGGGGTAGGATAGTGTGTGTGGTTGGTTTGTTTTTTTGAAAGGTGCGGGGGTGGGGTGGAACTGAGGGAGGAAGGAGAGCATGTGAGCCTATCTTCAAAAGAAAACACATTACTACTCTGTCAGGCAACTAAAGAGAAAAACATTTTTCTATTATCTGAAACAAAACACAGAAACAAAATCATAACACACACATACACATCCCTGCTTTGTAGTTTAGGCCAACATGGGCAAGCTATATTTGAATCTCCTTACACACTGTTCTAAAAAATCTATATGCACATACACATTTTTTATTAAGCTATTTAAAAGCAACCTTGCTAAGGAAATCACATACTATTTAAAAGAACAAAGAGAAGGGAAGCGACTAATTTAAAAATCTTACTATTTTCCCTATGCTATTAAAAAAGCATAAAAGAATCTGAGAGTCTATTAGTCTCAAATAATTAGATCCAATATGTATGAAAGGCAGTAAAAATATTTTTAAAAACCTACTGCTTTAAAAGTCTTCTGAAATACTATAGAGATATAAAAATAGTATGAAGAAATGACTGAGAGCCAATAGTAAAACAAAAAACTTACTTTATGTTTAATAAATTATTCTCAACTCATTTCCAAGGAGAGTGTTTGGTAAGCTTTAACCATTTCCCAGAGGGATAAGCACTGGTTTGCAATCAGAAAGACAGTCATGATCAAGAGATGTAGACAAGATAGAATAACTCTGCTTAAGGCATATTTACATTTCCATGGTGAGGGGAAGCCAAGTTTGCCACCCCAAAATATGCCCCCTTTTTTTAAAGATATTTTAAACTAGTTATTTTTAAGGAATGACAGAATCAGAAAAAATCTTTGATCTTCCCCCTAACTTTCTGAAAGAATTTAGAAGACTTGTTCTAAAGGAGCAATTATCATAGATGACTATATTTTAATATGAATTAGTGTGATAGGTAGGGAGCAGCCTATAAAGAGCCATTTAGTCAGTCCTTTCTGTGTCCCACTGTTAAAGAGGCAGGTCCCATGTTCTTAGGAACCCCATATGTGTACAGGTAATAAATCTGGTAATTTTCTCTTGTTAATCCGTCTCATGTTATTTTGTTTATTTCTTCAACTGGGATAACTTAGAAGGGTAGCAGAGAATTTGTTTCTCCTCCTCATGTGGTATGGTGCTCTCATGGGAGAAAAAGCTCAGTTTTGTGGAATTCACATACTTCCACAGTGCAAGTCCTCCCAACATGGCTAATTTTAAGCTGGCAGCATGAGGCCCCAGAACTGAAGCTGAGAAGAGCACACCGTACACAGTACTAGCACCATGCCAATAGCTAGCACCAGTGTCAATAACCTCAGAAGCAGAGATTATAGTAAAATGTAATAAAAACAATTAAGATGTGACAGATTTTGGGTACTTTGTAGAATTTATTTAATTTTTAGTAATGGTTGTATTTAACAACTGATTGGCAAAATCTCTAAAAATTGAACAACTGGCTTTCATAAGCCAATGTCATGTTATTCTAGCAGAATCATGTTATGTACCCAGAAAAGAATAGACATCTCTGATCTTATTAATAGCCATTCTTAAATACTGGAAGGACATAAACTTAATTCTTAGAAAAAAAAAACCTCAGCCCTGGAACCTAAACATAGAAGCTTATTTTCAAGAATACCAGGCCCTGAAAGCATAAATGAATCCACTTCCTCATCACAACACTGGCTAAAGGTATAAGCTATAGAATTTGATCTAGAAAAAACATCATGTAGTATTTCAGAGAACTTTTATCAAAAAGAAGATTGTACTGTGTTGTATTTCAGGGTCCCTTTCAAACAATATGTATTTCCCCATGGCCCTGACACTCTCCACTCCTCTGGCCCTCAAAAGAAAACTCTACTATAAAGTCTCTCTTATTCTGAAATTAAAAAAAAAAGCATTTAAAGTTAAAATAATTTATAAAATAAGTTATAGACAAACTAAAAGTTTTCTTATCCCCTATTCCATGAGAATGGAGCACTGTGTCTATTAGATAAATGTTAGCTGATGAATGAAAACTAATAAGCCAATAGCTTTCAATAAGACTTCAGGAGAAACCCTGGAAAATGTGACTGGGCTCCAAGTATGCTCTGTAAGTCTCAAAGGAGGCTTGCTCACCTCTCATATCCTCTAATTTGAACAAGACAGTAGTACAAATTACTCAAATTTTAATTGATAAGCAACCACCTTATTTATGTGTGTTATGTAGGTGACCATTTAGGAGCTGTCAGTTTGCATGTAAGGACTGAAAAGCCCCCTGGCTAACACAGAAACAGAAATAAAGTGGCAATTAAGGCAACTTTACCCCAAGTGTTCTTGGACATGGAATTTAATGAAAAATGATGATATGACTGAAAATGGATTCAGAAGAATCAGTATATAAGCAAGAAAAAAAATGTAAAACTATCAAAATCCCAATGTTCTGAAGCACTGGAGATGGAAATCCAATTGTACTTAAAATAAAATGGACACAGCTAATAGGCCATGTTTTGTGTTATCTCGATCTATTGCTTACTTCTTCCACGCATTTGTCTTAATCAGACTCTACAGCACCACATCTATTGTGCTGTGTGGCCTGAAGGCTTAGCCCTAAGGCCTCAATGCTGCAGGCTTGACATATCTATAATTTCTTGAGTTACTGAGGGTAACCACAGGATCATCAATAAAAAATTTCTGTGAAAAGCTCATTCACATTTTTAATTAAAAAAGGTCAAAAGGAAGGGATTCATAATGTAGGATAACTACTTTTTGAAGAGTTGAATGATTATGCTGTATGTTTTCAATTTAAACCATCATCATGATATGTTTAGGGGTTTAACTTATGAGACAATCAACTAATCTTTATATTGTACATTAAATACCTAAATATTATAAATCACCTTAGATGAACATTTATGGAAGAGTTGCAGTGCAACTTAAGAAAAACTTGTCACTTTTATTGTGTGTCAATCATTTGTAAAGCATGATATGCTAAGTAATCCTATAATATAATTGAGGGGCACAAAAACTGTCAGAAAACAGCTAGAGACTATATTAGTTAAACTTTAAAGACTGAAATAACATGAATTAATCAACACTGTTTAATTAAAGCTCTATTTGTAATATTTTTATTAGACTTGTTATTAATGAACTTTTAATGCTACCTCTAACTTGAGCTATATATTTAAATAATGAACTATTGTTCATACTCACAAAAGTACAAACCCTGCTTTAATAGTCTTACGCATAGCTAAGATACAGACTTGTCCCTTCTTCCTCTCTGCAGTCATTTCCATAGTTAGCAAGATATCATCTTTAAGGCTGATAAAATGGTCTAAAATCATGAAGGTGAAATCATTAAGAATATAACAATGAAGTAATTAAGACTGGAAATTAGAAAAGAATTTTGATTGAGCTCAAACATAATGTTTTCAAATTTGTGTTTTAGTATTTCTTATGAACCTCATACATATGTTGAGGAATGATCTGATTTGGTTGGTGAAGACTTACCTGAACATGTCTCCTAGACCTTTCAGCATTCCCTTCTTGGCTTTCATTTTATCCTTTTCTTTATCTCTATCTTTTTTCTTCTCTTTTCCTGTTTTATCCTTTCTCCTATTAATCTTATCTCCTTTTTCTTGGTTTCCATTCATTTGTCTTTCCAGAGAATATGAAGGCTGGTCACTGGCTGTGGACACAGACTCTCTCCCTGATCTTGAGCTTTCTTCTGTATCTTCTTCCACTTGGAAGGAAACAAAAACAAAAACAGATAAGGAATGCAGTGAAACAAAGGAACAAAAATAAGGAATTAAAATATATGTGAGAATTTTCTTTTCCCGCATGTTGCTATTAACATGGGCTGCATTTACTTCTGCGTGGAATTAAAACCGAATATGTGATATGGATGACCTCTGTAGGTTTGTATAGAAAATGATGTGCCAATAGGTCAAGAGAAGCTGCTTTTCAGCCAGGTGCTGATTTCCCCAGAGTAATATCCTCCTTGACACAGAACATGTATTGCTGTGGGAATTGGCTGGTCCTCATCACAGCACAAACCTGTAATGGTCCTTTTTACGATATTTGCAAAACGAAAATAAGCAGTCCTTCCCCAAGTGCTTACATTCCTCCTGGGTAAGAATGAAGTGGATCCACTCTGGCCCCTCATTAATGAGTTATATTATACCACTCTCTAGTTAGCACAGCAATGGTAGTACAATAATTTGTTTCCTCAAGCTCCCAAGCATGTCCATTTGTCATTTCTGTAAACAGAAGACTGGATTTTCACAGCTTCTGCAGCTTTTATTTATGATGCTATTAAATAAGTTCAACATCACAAGCAAATGGTACTACATCTTCTAATCCTAACTAATTTTGCATGTGAGTCTACACAATAGCAGATAAACAGAGTTGGATAGAATCATGAAAATGTGTGATTTAAGAACCCCATACTCCTGTGAATTTTGCAGATAAAAGCTGTACTTAAATAACAAGATTCCATCCTGTGAACCAACATTTCATAAAAATATGGCCAATACCCCAAACTGTTTGCATTTGAAAGAAGACAGGTAACTAGAGTGGGTTTCCACCTACCAAAAAATCTTTCAGAATTTAAGTTGGGAAGCAATAGATACACATATTCAGCCATTTTCATAAGATCTTTTCTGAGATTGTTTGCCTATGATTTGGGGCTTTGTGTTACCCCTTCAATTCTGAAATCATCTTTTTTTTCCTCCATCAACAAAGTATGAATCAATATTTTTAAGCTTCTTCTAATGTAGAACCAAAAAGAACAAGTAGGCCTCTTCCCAATCTTTCACAAAGAACAGATCTCTAAATCAAGTTAATGTATCTTCAAGTGAAATTCAGTGAGGAGCACTTAAGTTAGCAATACACAATAACAGGAGTATAAGACATTAAAACAAACTCAATATCTTAGGTTATGCTACTAAACTCTCACACATCTGAAAAGAGACTATCAAATGATGACATGAATACAGCCAATTGATACTTTTATTAATGCCAGCTATTTACCATAATACTAAAAGAATTCTTTAAAAAAAATATATATATTTTATTGATTTTTCACAGAGAGGAAAGGAGAGTGATAGAGAGCCAGAAACATTGATGAGAGAGAAACATCAACCAGCTGCCTCCTGCACGCCCCCCACCGGGGATGTGCCCGCAACCACTGTACATGCCCTTGACCAGAATCGAACCTGGGACCCTTCAGTCTGCAGACTGACACTCTACCACTGAGCCAAACCGGTTTCGGCTAAAAGAATTCTTTTTGTTGACACATTTAGTTAAAGACATGAGCCATCATATTGCCCATACCCTAGGTCTAGCAAAAGAGTAAGAACATCAGAGTCTAAATCCAGGCAGTACTCTGGAGGTCATTTAGACCAACTTCTTCCTCTAAATGCTGAGGAAACAAAGATCTGGGTCCAGCACACTTCCTGCATGGGGATCTTTCTACTATTATATCCTTGTACTTTAGCAAGACCTTCGTGAATTTTTACTCATCTCTGGCTAGATTCCATGTTTCATTCAGCATATATTTCAGTAATCTCTCAACCAGTCATTACACAGTCTTCCCAGAAGATAATTACAGCAGTCAGAAGTATATTTCAGAAACGTGCTATCAACTCTGTATGGTAACTGAATACTGTGACTCACATTGATGAATCACTCAAGAAGCAAGATCAATTGTGCAGTGGCTCTAGGATGGGTTAGCAACTGTAGAAATGACTTCAGAAAGATTGTCCTCCTTCTGTACTGGGTTATCAAACGTGAGCCACTCTCTTCTTCCAATTAACATGGCAGATTAAAAAAAAAAAAAAACACAACAACTTGTTTCTTTTACTCTTTTTCAACTAATGCATAAATAGGAATTGTGCAGATTTGTTGAAGGAAGCCAGTTACAATTTTGATGGCCACTGCTAGTAAAAATCAATAGCCTTGCAAATAACTGGTGAGCTAAGGCTGCAACTTTTTGTGGTCTACAAAGAGGAGGGAAAGACTATTCTGGCCTAGTGTTTCAAGAACTTGCTAATTACGTGAAGCTATTTCAAGGACAGACTCCCAGAAGAATGTAAATACAGCTTTAGTAGGGCTGCAGCACCTTGTCAATACCCTTGATATGGTTATGCTCTGATTACCAACCACTCTCTTAACCTTTTGGGAAATAAATGTGGCCTCAACTTTGAGATAAATGACCAAATCACTATAAAACAATTCTTAAAAGTTCTTGCCAGCTACAAACCTAGGTGGGTTGGTATACTCAAACAGATGGATGGTAGTGGATTTTCTAAACCCAACATGCAAAACTCCTTTTACCTATATACTTCCATATCTCTTTGTAACAAACTTTCATTATTGCACTTCACATATGTCTATCTCCCACTCTCTGAGCTTCTAAAATGAGGAATGCCAGACAGGCAACAGCTGCTCATAAAAGGTTATTTAAATGAAAGATTATTAACTCATTGCTTTATCCCAACCATACAAGCATTTATGCAGTCTCTGGGTATGGCCATTCCTCTAGCTTCAGAATAATGCCCACTGGCCAGACCCCAACTACAGTAACACCAGGAAGACTTGACTCTTGAATAACACGTGGTTTAGAGGCACCAACTTCCACACAGTCAAAAATCCACATGTAACTTTTAACTCTGCCAAAACTTAACTGCTAATAGACTACTGTTGACAGAAGCCTTACTGATACCATAAGCAGTCAATTTACAACTTTTGTATAGCATATGTATTATATACTGTGTTACAATAGAGTAGGTTAAAGAAAATGTCATTAAGAAAACCATGAGAGAAAATACACTGACAATACTGTACTTATTTACTGAAAAACACCCACGTATTAGTGGACCCGGGTAATTGAAACTCAATGATATTTAAGGGTCAATTATACTTGTTTCGGCTCTCATCATCTTCGATATATTTTTATTATATTATTGTTAGTTCTGTATGTTTTGTCTAATGGATTATACAACCCTCATCAATGTTTGAAACTAAAAACAAAAAAATGAGCCCAGTAAATTAAACAACTTTGTCTTCCACAGCAGCCATCACCATAATGCATGAATGCTAGTTCTTGGCCTGATAGTTGGCAGAAGTACAGGGGCATATGTCTGCTCTTGGCTTGGTAACAGAATAAAGGCAGAGCCGTCACAATTAACTGGGCACTGAAGTTATATTTGTTGCCAATTCTTTTCATAATCACAACAATTTTCTGGTGTATGTAATACCAATTATTTTATAAATTGGGTGAAACAGAGAAAATCAGTATTAAATCATTTATTAACTTTGGGTTTTATAAACACATTTTATAAAATAAAATATCCTACAGTTTCCCGCCCCATGCCAGAGAACTATTTAAGATGATAATCCGACATTTGAGAATTCTTTATACTTACTTTGAACATTCTAATTTTGATACTACATTATCACAGAAATTCTTCTGGGGGTGTACTTATTTTACTAATCCATTTGATGCTAACTAATTAAAAATATTTAGCAATATGTAGCTTCATATGTACAAACATAAGATGTTTTTTAAAGTATGGCATTACATATGTTTCAAACTCTAAAATTATTTGATAGGGGAAAATAGGAATATCTCACTTTATCCTATGCAAGATTACTCTTTTAAAAACTTAACAAATTGGCTGCCCATGCTTAATTAAAAAAAAAAATTAAAAAAAAATATATATGTATATTCAAGGTCACTGATATTCTAGTCAGGTTATTTTAAAGTTTAAAATCAATTTCTGTACATTTAATACTAATTTTATAATAAGATACAAATCAAAATTAATAAAATAAGAGGCTAATAAAATAAGAAACCATATAAATAATTTTTCAAGTAAGAAAACTACTGAGAATGTATTAGCTACAAATAGCTTGATTTATGTGTACATATAGAAAATTACAGTGTAAGAATTAACCATAATCCTACATTTAGATAATTCACTATTTTAAATGGTATATAAATTTTTACAATTGTTCTCTTTAATTTTGCTCATCTTTATAGATTATTACCTTTCCTTTTGTAGAGAGGCTACACAAAGAAATATGATCTCCTTCCAAACAAATAGAAATTTCTATTTTTTATGAACATTTATGCCTATTTTAACTAACTTGATGCACTGAACTATCAGCTATGTGATTACCTATAACAATAGATACTCTGAAGTTTCTCTTTTTAAAGAAGTTATAACATGAAGCTGCTTATTTCTCTTTAATGCAGCACACTCATACAATTAAGACATTTAATTACCATGTTTTTAACAAATGCAAATAAAACTCAATTAAAATTCTAGTCTGTGTTACAAATTAAGCTACTCAATTCTGCCAAGCATCCTGTTAGGACTGAGTCACCAAGAAGTTTGGAAAAAACTGGGCACTAATATGTTAATGATTATGAAGAAAATGACTTCCAATTTCAGCTGAAACTCAAGGTTCTGTACCTTATACCATAAATTAATATTTCTATCTAGTCATCACAAACATTTTATTGTCAAAAGCTGACTATAAGCCACACAGTCAATGATCTTGACCTTACCCTCACCATTAAGAAGCAATGCTACTCTGGCTGGTTTGGCTTAATGGACAGAGTGTTGGCCTGCTGACTGAAGGGTCCAAGGTTCAATTTTGGCCAAGGGCACATGCCTGGGTTGCTGGCTTGATCCCCAGGAGGGGGCATGCAGGAGGCAACCAATCAATGATTCT